CTGTGAAGTCGTGGAGCCTGGAGGGGAGGGTGTGGCGTGTGTAGGGGTGTGGGTAATGGTGACAACGGAGGCACTGCCCATTTTTCTGTGCCTCTCTGAGAACAGGCATGATACAGATTGGTTTTGGGGATGAAGGTGGGTTTGAGTGGGAGGACACGAGGAGAGGAGAGATAGAGGAGCTTTATCTGGAGCCTTTCATGGGAGGAAAGTTTTGCATGGTAGCTCTGGTGGATTAAAAAAAAAAAACAGCAATATGACGAAAGTAATAGACCTTTCAGTGCTTCACCAACGGGGAATCTGTCACCCTATTTCTTAATGAACGTGTGTGTTTTGCCACCGGTTATTCTCATCCACTACCATCACAGACTTTTCCCATGGCCGCATCGCAAGGCCTCATTCCCGCGAGGCTCTGGGAGAACAGCATACATTCTGGGCAGGACGGGACATGGCAAGGGGGTGGTATATAGTCTGGCTGGGATTCAAGAGATGGGTTTTGGGTTTGGGGATGGGGTGCAGCTGGATGCATAAGTGGCCTGATGCAGGAAAGCAGAAGGTGCCCACAGCTCTAGGGTGCTAGAGACACCTCCTGAAGATCTTTGCACAGGATTGTGTGTTTACAAATCATCTTTCCTTGATGTGCAAGTTCTTTCCTTTCCCCCTTTTAAACATTGGTGTAGTTTCTCCATGTTGGGAAGTCTTGGGGGTGGGGGCTATATACGGGACCCAGTGACACACCCTCTTTTGCTTCTCTTGTGGCTCTATAGAAGAGTCTTCTCTTTTTTCCTGGCCAATGGCCAGAAGAGGTTTCCTCAAGGGAGTCTCTGAAACCTATAGCTCCAGGTTCCTTGGCAAGGGGGCCAATGCTTAGCCTGGTGCCTGCTCACCTCTTTTTCCATATTCCCTTGGTAATAAACTTGAGATCTCTAAGAATTCCATAATGGAAATTCTCCAGACCCATACAATGTATAAGAACCTTTCTGTCAATTTCTGCATTTCCTCACAGAGAAATGACCCTCTCTTAAAACCAAGCTCTTCCACCCAGAGCTTTTTTTTTTTTTTTGATAATGACCTTAGTCTGAGGTGCATGAGTGAATTTTAGAAATGAATGTACAATGGGCCGGGTGCGCTGGCTCATGCCTGTAATCACAGAACTTTGGGATGCCAAGGCAGGCAGATCACGAGGTCAAGAGATCGAGACCATCCTGGCCAACATGATGAAGCCCCATCTCTACTAAAAATACAAAAATTAGCTGGGCATGATGGCGTGCGCCTGTAGTCCCAGCTACTCGGGAGGCTGAGGCAGGAGAATTGCCTGAACCCGGGAGGCGGAGGTTGCGGTGAGCCAAGATCGTGCCACTGCATTTCCAGCCTGGGGCCTCTGTCTCAAAAAAAAAAAAAAAAAAGAAATGAATGTACGATGTATGTCTGATTCATGCCAGGGGAAGCGGCACGGTGCCCTTTCTGGGATCCCTACAAAGTCAAATTCCTTAGCTCCTGAGAATTGGGGTACATGGGGTGCCCTGCAAAGGTGGGGGTGTCCCTGTGCAGTAGCCAGTAACTGATCTGAAGGGAGAGGACTCGGCTCTGGGGATATAACGTTTCGAACCTTTGTGTGATCACCTTGTCTTCATCTTTTCTTCCTCATTCTTAGTAGACATGTGGGAGAATTTTCATCAAAAATGCTAACTCTGACTCCTCCCAGTGCTCAACAGATTTGTCATTCTTCATCCACTGAGCTGCAAGAGCTAGAGTGCCTTCAGAGGTGACTGAAATCTTCTCTAATACCCCACAAAGACCACGGATCTTTACCACTTCAGGTGCAGTGGCTCAAACCTCTTAAAGTCACCCCAGGAGGAAGTGTTGATTGTAGTACTCTCTCAATGTACATAAATAGTATTTATCTCATAATAATAATAAGGTTCTGATGGTACTACTTCCACCCAGGAGCATCACTCTGTTGCGACCTCCTTGTCTGTGTGTACAGTGCTCACCCTTGCAGGAGTAGGAAAGTCCTGTATCTAGAGCTGAATCTCAGCCCTTGGGCCTGAAGGGTAGGGAGTTGGGGAGGTAGGTCAAGCATCCCCCACAATAATGTAGAGATGTGGCAGAAACCCATTGGTCTGTTATATTGTTATCTGGCTCCACATTGCTTTGACATAAAAATAAATGACTGAATTAAGTTAAACCCAGAAGTGGCTTCACAAAGAGGTTGTGTAGCATCTGCTCATGGGACCCCTTCCACACACCATCTTTCTCACTAGGTTTTGGGGAGGACAGGGAGCTGGGGCTGGGGAGGGCAGCGGGAAGAGGGAGCTCTGCTCAGGGACAGGGAAAGGTGCCCCATCCCTGATGGTTGTAGGACTCTTCTTTCCCTCCTGTCTTTCCCCTCAACCTCCTCAAATCGTAGCTGCTGGAGAACCTGGACTCTGGCAGCTGAGGGCCTCCTTGTGAGTGAGGTTTGGGCTTCCCCACCTGCCTTTGTACAGGAGCCTGTGTCTGGTGGCACCTGGACAGCACAAGGGGAGGGACATCAGCAGAGGGGGGACAGGGCGGCAGACACTCTCACATCCCAGCAGGTAGGCTGATGTGGCAGGGACAACACCCCCCCAGATGGAATGTGCACTTTTCTCACCTTCCCAAATAGATCCTCGAGATGTCAGCGGCTCCACCACACTGGTCACTGTGGGTGGCTGAGCTGAACACGTCCTTCCATGAAATGGGAAGAGACACAGAGGGAGTAAAAATATGCCCTTTTCTTGCCTTCATACACCCCCTAGTCCTCTCTGTGCTGACATTTGCCTCAGATGCAGGTCTTCTTTAAAACATGGAATTGGCCCAGAACCCATCATCAAGTTTCCTCCCTTGGGGTTTAAAGAGGTCTTCTGGGAGTCAGCGGGCCCATTTTGCGGGCTCTTTGCTGAATTGTTTCGAAATCCTCTACAATGATATTTAATTATTCTAGGCCTCTGGGGACGGATATGCCATCATCCTCCTTTGCCACCCTTTCCATGATGGTTTGATGAGGCTAAAATCCCCGATGAGCAGGGTTCCACTCTACCCCTGACCTACATTCTTGTTCTATTTCTTTGCCTTTAGCAGTGGTGACTGTGTACCTCAGGGCTCGCAGCCACCATCCTTTTGGTAACTCCCAAAGTCCTCATTTTCAAGGTGTCCCTATTTCTCAGGAGATGAACTTGGGCATGCAAAGACCTGCTTTTCCTGAGGTTGCGCCCCTGTCTTCCGCTGGATGGCCAGGAGATGTGCTGGGTAGAGAAAACTTGGGAGAAAGTGGCAAGCAGCTTCGCTCCAGACAAGCACCTGGAATTTGAAACTGGGAAACAGGAGAATGAGAGACACTGCCTTGCTCCTTTGAGTGGATTTTCCAGTCAGAGTGAGGCCTACTGGGTTAGGAAGAAGAAAGGGGGTTATAACTAATACCTTCTGAATCAAAGCTGGGAAAAGTTCACCAAGGTCTGGAAATGAAAGAGGCAGGGCTGGTCAGAGGACAAAGAATTAAGTTGACCAAACTGCAGACCTTAAACTGTGTTTCTTCAAGTCCCTTGGGCCCTCAGCCCTTGGCTGTTTTCTCCTGCCACTCAGTGGCTGTCAGGAGGGGTACGGAAGATGTGACAATTATGTTTTAAAAGGTCATGGGGAAAATTCCATTTTAGGTGGAGAGTAGACACCACTTTGAAACTCGTGGCTGCGGTTTGTTGATGTCATTACTTGCTGTGCCAATCTGTTCTGATGACAGGCAGCATATGTCAGTCTTATTCTAGTGGATCAGGAGGTCAGGCTAGGAAAGTCCTCCTGCCCTAAACAGGGATTCCTGTGTGTACTTCCTGGTAGAAATCTTGGGAACTTTTCAAAGGATGATACCTAAACTCAATTTCTAGAGGACCCGGATGGCACTGAAAAGGAATCAAGAAAGTTTGGATGACTTAGGTGTGGAAATCCATGAAGAAACTCTGTTTCTAGCCTATGTTAGCTGGGGAGTATTGAGCACATTTCTCCACTTTTTCATGAATCAGTCGAGCAAGTTGTCATAGAGGAATGGACTTTTCCTTAATTTCTAGTTTGCTTACGTATGTGCCAAGAGGGGCTGAGGGAACACTAGGACTGGAAGAGATTTAATGGGTCAATTCTGGGCAAATGATTGGGTTTTCCCCAAAGCAGTCCCTTTTCAATCATCACTGTTGATACACATTTGAAGGACACAGCACCAACAGAGTAGGGAGATGTAAATGAGCATCGGAGATGTCCTCACAAAATCCATCCCCACCTGCACTGTGAGCTCCTGATGCCTCTTTCCTTGTCCTGGCCCCCTCCTTGGCAGCCCAAACAGGAGGGCAGGCCTGAAGGCAAGGCAGCTCCGGAGTGAGGAAGGGACGGAGAAAGGAGCACGCAGAGTTGACTTTCAGATGGCCGGGGGTTTCACCAGTTCCTTTCTTGAGCCCCTGCTGTCCACCTTGAATACAGCAGATTCCTGAAGTGAGGATGCCCCTCCCTCCAAGCAGCCTGACTTTAATTTCATCCTCCCGGTGAGTGTACACTTTTCTAAGGAACCCAACAAGAAAAGTCTGAGTGGTGGGAGTGAAGGGCAAGCCAGCCACCTCTTCCATGAGGGATGCACATGCCAGCCCGGAGACTGAGGGCTGGTCAGAGTGCCTCCCTACGCCTCACAGCGAAGGACTGTTCTTGGAGAAGTACCAAATCAGAGGACCAGAGCAGGGAGGACACAGTGAAGACTGGAATAAAATAGGTTCTGGTCTCACAGCAGGAGGCGGTACGAACAAACCCAGCAAATGATTTTGGAAAAACTGAGGGAAATGGAAGCGAACACAAGATATGCAAAACAGTAATGTCCAAACCTGTTTGTGGAGAGCAGAATAATGACTACACTGGTGATACCTTTGCTCGTTGTGCAAATTAAACAGAACTCATTCCCTTTCCCCCAACCACATATAGAAAAGCACTTAAGAGTTCAAAGGTAAAGCTTGTCACACTTCAAATACAAAATGATTTACTTTACATGCAGCAAAATATACAAGAAGTGAATCCAAAAACCAACTTAATTCAGTTCATTATATTCGCTTGGCACAATTGCAATTCAGTTTTAAAAAAATATTTGAAAAATACTGAAACTGACCTGAATTCAAGTATAACGGTTTCTTCAACAGAAACATTATCAATGCAATAAAACATTACACGGAATATATTGAAGCAAAATGCCTTCTTGTGTTTTTCCCTTAAATTTCTGTGTCTTTTTTTTTAAATACAGCTTTAATGCCAACACAACTCACAATTGTATTTTTAAATGAATATTATTGCATTGTTTTTGCATATCTTGTGGGACAGAAAATGCAAAGGGTTACTGATTCCCATTTCAGAAGCAGAGACAGTGGTTTGTTTTTGCTTTCAAATGGCCCCAGATTCAGAGCTTCCCACAGTTAAACCAGAAAGGGGGGACTGCGTAGCCACTGGTGTGCGCGGGCATATGGTGTGGGTGCATATACATAGGTAGGACATATGCGCACAGACAACCCACCGCACACACACGCGTCGCACACTCACAGAGTCTCTCGAGCATGCTCCTCTCTCGCAAACCCACCTGTACACCCAGCATAAAAAGGAACCCAACTCTATCACCCACATGTGCAAGACCACATCAAGTGCATTGCCAATTACCTTTCCATTAGAAAACCGAACTAAACCAGAACAAAAATAGGTTACTACCTAAGGAAATGATAACAAATTATTGGGCATACACAATGGATGGTAAAACTCTCCTGCAGCGGCTTCTATTGAACTTCCGTGAGAACAGGAAACGACAATCCTTTAAATAACACAAGAAAACCAAACCCGATGTACGTTGGCAAAAGTGAAAACAGAAAGGTGAGGGGGCTACAAGACTTTGTAAACACTCTTCTTCCTCCCTTCCCTCTGGGAAAACAAAATAAAAAATAAAAAACCCAAAACCAAAACCAAAACAAAACAAAAAATCCAAAAAATCGAAAACTGCAACATGCTGTCAAGAAAAGTGTCAAACCACAAAACAAAAGAGCGCTCAGCGGAAGCTCAGCACCACCTGGTTGGGCGGAGCCGGCGGCCCCTTCCCTGCGGCGCAGCTCCTCCGTTGCGCTGCCTGCGGGCCGGCGGCGGGCCGGGAGCCCGGCGTGGCCTGTGCCTGTGGGGCGATCCCGTCGCGGGTGGATGGGGACGGGTCGAAGTGAGCCGCACCCCCGCCGGCCGGACGCCCATCCCCAAAGCTCCGCGCCCCTGGCGGCCTCCTCCTCCCTCTCCGGGCCCGGGCGGGGTCCTCCTGGAAGTCCTGCCCGGCTCCCTTCTCCAAATCCGCAGGGCCCTGGCTCTAGGGAGACAGCAGGCTCGTACAGAATATGTGCAAATGGTTTCTACAAGCAGAGTCGAAAGACACCCGTTTGCTGTAGGGTCCTTTTGGTGAGGGCGCGCAGGAAGCCGGGGTGCTCTCCCCACAGAGGCGCTGCCGGTCCCGGGGCCTGCGGGCTTGGGGAGGGCAGGCGCCTTCCTCACGCCCCGGGACCCTCGCCGCCTCCTGTCCCCGCGTCTGCGGACACAGCCGGGCGCCTTCCTCCCGGAGGGCGGCTCGCGCACCCAGGCTCCGCGTCTTGTCCCAACAGAAATGAATGAAGACGCTGTTCCGGTTAACTCCAGGTCACGAGAACAGTGAGGCACTTCTGAAACGAACCCATTAGGAACATTGAAACAAATAAAAAAAAGCCCGCATCTGGCAGCGCCCACTACAGGCTGCTGACGTAGACCCTGCTGTCCTGGAGCTCCTCTTCACTCAGTCGCCCCCGCGCGCGCACACAGCCCGCGTCCTCTTCGCCCCCGGCTAGGTCCTGCCCCGCGTCCCTGCAGTTCACAAAGGGTAAGAGGGCGCCATTGGGGCTCTGTGGGGCGCCCCCGCTGAGGATGTTGTCGGCTGCGCTCTCCATCTCCTCTATGGTCATGTCGCAGGCGTCGGCCAGCTCCTGGGTGGTGACCTCGATGAACTTGGGATCTTGAGCAAACTGCCCCAGTCCTTCTGAAATCAAGACCTGGAGACGCCGGATGGGAGCCATGGAGAACCAAAGGAACGTTATTCTTGGAGCCCAGCTCTTCTCTTGAGGGCTAGAGCCAGGGGTATCTGGTGGGTCACTTGGGGAAATGTGCGTGTGTGCACGCATGCATGTGCACGTGTGTGTGCGTGTATGTGTGTCTGTGTTGGGAGTGGCACCCACAGGGAACAAGAAGAGATGGAGCATCTCCCAAAAGAATTAGGGACGTCCAGGCCAGAGGAGAGAATTTTGGCTGGGCTGGCCAAACACTGTCATCAAATATATGAAGACCTGGCTTATGGCCCAGCACTGTGGCTCACATCTGTCACTCAGCACCTTGGGAAGCCCAGGCAGAAGGACTGCTTGAGCCCAGGAGTTTGAGATGGTCCAGGCAACATAGGGAAACTTCGTCTATACAAAAAATTTAAAAACATTTGGCTGGGTGTGGTGATGCGTGCCTGCGGTTGTAGCAAGGCCAGAGGCTGAGGTGGGAGGATCATTTGACCCCAGGAGCCCAGGCTGCAGTGGGCTGTGATTGCGCCACTACACTCCAGCCTGGGTGACAGAGCAAGAACCTGTCTCAACAGACAACCAAACCAAAACAAAAACCAGAGTAGGCTTGGCTCACAGAGGGGCCCGGGGATGGCGGGGGTGCCCTGCTGCTTCGTCAGCAGACCCCAGCCTGCCTCTCTCCTTTCTGACACCCACAGAGCCTTTATACTATTCTTTCAGAGAAAGCATTCTCCCTGGTGAAACTGTCGAGACAGGCCCTCTGCCCACTGCCTGCTGCTGCTTTTCCAGGGGTGAGGTATATGTGCAAACACCGTGCATGCCCCTGCCCTGCTTCTGCTGGGAAGGGCCACCAGGGGACCCCCAAACTTCTCTGTCCTCCTTACCGGCTGCATAGTGCCCAGCTATAGGAAAGTTGGCTCCTGAGTCAGAAGGTGGAAGGCAGCTGAGTGCAGCCTGGCACTCACTCCTCCCAGGCATCTGTTTGTCTTGCTCCTTCTCTCCTTACCCTGCTTAGTTTTTCTTTGGCACTCCTGAATTTCCTGATGTGTTATATGTGTGTGTGTTTATTATCTGTTTCTCCTCACCACAATGTTAGCTCATGAGAGCAGAAGCTGTGTTTCTTAGCTGTGTCCCTGTACCTAGAATAGCGCCTGCACATGGTAGGCACTCAGGGGAGGTCTGTGAAATGAATGAAGGATGGCCAAGGCCACAGGAAATACCAGTTTAACTCCCCCACCTCCTGCCGACAGCCTGATGTCCAGATGAATGCAGCCTCTGCTTGGCTATGTCCGGTAATGGGGTTCACTACTTTTCAGGCAAACCCCTCTCACTTTGGAAGAGGCCAGTTGGGAAGGTCTTCCTCATGTGAGCTGAAATCTGCCTGCTGGTGGGTTGAGCCAGTCACTCTGCCACCTCTCCCCATCCCTCCTGCTGCAGGTGTGAGAGGTGCATCGCACCCTCCACAGTCACCTTCTCTCCAGGTTTCCTTCCCCAATTCCCTGAACTGGTTCTCCTAGGAAATGGTGTCTAGGAACCTTGCCATTCTGGTCGTCCTCTTTTGGCCTTGTTCCAATGTGTCAAAGGTCCCTAATAATGTGGCGCCAGGATTGCACTAGAAAGCTCTCTGAAAGCTCTCTCGTTCTAGACTAGTGTCTCCCAGCCTGGCTATGCATCACAATCATCGAAGAGCTTTAACAACTATCAGTTAATTTGTCCGCATTTCCAAAGCTCCCAGGTGATTCTCATGGATAGTCAGGCCTGAGCGCCTTGGATCTGGCCTGTCTGTGTAGAAGGGCAGCCAAGCTCACATTTGCGTGTTGAACAGATGCAGCACACAGGTCTATGGCTGGGACGAGCTGCTCAGTGATTTCTGTCACCCTCTGCAGTGGGCCTGGCCTCAGGAGAGCCCGTGGCATCTCGTGTGGGCAAGGCTTTCTGCACACCAGCCCTCCTGCAGCCCTGACGGGGTGGGTCTTTCTGCTCAGATATTGACTGCAATGAATTTGGAAAGAGCCAGGTGCTCCCTTCTCAGCTCCACATGCCAAGTCCCCTTGCTGCCCCTTGGGCCTCTCCCCCCACCTGTCCGTGAGTCACTTACCGCTTCCACCAGGCTGCTGGCACTGCCGTGGAACTGCCTCCCTGGGGCCCCAGCCTGGCTGGGCACCATGAGGGAGACGGGCCGGGCTCTCCGGGCGGTGCTGCTGCCCCCGCCACAGGGGGTGGTCTCAGCCCAGGAGCCGCAGTGGATGGACGGGAAGCTGCTGTTGAGTTTCTCGCTGGACTCGGCCCCCTCTAGCCGCAGGGTGGGGACGGGCTGTGGGGGCCAGCCTCGGCTGCCAGGTGTGGCCGGGGGGGTGGCAAAAGGCCTGGGGAATGAGGCAGGGGAATGGCTTCTCTGGAGGAGGGGGCTCAGGCCTGCCACTGCCAGTGCCTGTGGACACACAAGGAGTATGAGTTAATAGGAGGGTCCACCCCAAGCAAGGCAGGCCCCTGCTTCTGAGCAACCACTGCTTTGTAGGGCTGTGTCTAGCTAGCTCCACCAGCCTGATATTCACATGCCATCGTTTTCCCCTCCTGGTCCTATTCATTAACCTGGCATGACTTTCAACCATCTTAGAATACATCTTAGCACCATCTGGGTCCGAAGTGATCTCTTTCTCCTGTAACTTCTGCGAGCTGGGATTGGGTGGAGTCATGGTAACCTGCTTTTAGCCGTGGCCCTGTCACCTGTTTATTCTCTTGCTCTTCTCAACAGGACGGAGAACAGGGTGAGGCCTGCGTGTCTGTAAAACCAGAGAGCGAACGCCCTCTATCCATTCGCCTTGCGGGGCTGGTGTGAGATTCAAGTGCGGTGAGGTCTGTGAGGAAGCCCTCTGCACCTCACAAAGAGTCGGGAAAACCGATATTTGTGGTTTTGGTTCTGACAGTTAACGGGGCTGTTCATAATGCCCTGCCGGTCTCTAGCTCAGGTTATCTTTCAACCATTGTTAAATCTGGTGTTGTATTGTGCTTACAAGATTCATGTGGTGTGCCCTCTGTCCCTGAATGTTCTTGAGCATCCTGAGGGCAGGGACCAGGCCTGCCTGGCTGTTGCCATGACGACCTGCCAGGGCAGAGGCTCTGCAGGGCGAGCTGCTCTGATAGGATGTGCTCCTGGGAGAGAGAGACACTGTGTGTGCCCACCTCTAGGGGCACAGAGAACAGGAGGAGAAAGATGAAGAGGAGAGTTTCGTGCCTGTCAGTATAACAAGAACAGATAGGTAAAACTGACTACTAGGAATCTTTTAAGATGGCACACATAGTGTCCCCACATTCTTCCACCTTCTGCCCCAGCCCATGGTGGTCCTCAGCCTGGGGCTCCTGGATCCCTGGGGATCTGAGAAAAGTGTAAGGCCATATTCATTATTTCGGAAAGCCCAGTGGAAATCAACACACAGGCTAAGAAAACCAGTTCATTTCTTGGGGCTGAAGTCCTTTCAACTCAGCAAGACCACACTGGCCATCTCACGCTGACTGTGAGTTTTGATTAGCAGTTGAATGCCTTTGGGTACAAAAAAGTCATTTAAAGCATACGTCCATGCTATAAGAGAGTATATCATTAAAAAGGTCAGAATGTTGGGAAACTCAGTTTGTCTGGGGTTAATAGACTGGCCTCAGATAATACTGAAGTTCAAAGATACTAAAATATGTTTGGTCCGGGCATCTTGGATTTCACTATCTCGGCTGGAGTCAGCCATGCCAAGAGACAGTTTCATTTATGGAATCTCCCTGGACCTGATTTCCCTGGATGTCATTCCCTACTCTTGACCATGTGGCTGGTGGGTTCTTTAATCACTTCTATATGTCACTGGATGGATTTTTGTGCAGCGAAATTTCCAGGTATGTTCAAACTCTAGGTACAAGTACATCTTCCTGAATGCCCTGCAGCATAAGTCAGTGTCTGGGGAGTCAGTGGGATCTGTGGCAGCCTAAGAAAAAGCTCAGGTGGAGCCCACAGCTGTGGGTCCTCAGGATGACAGGAAGAGCTCCTGTGCACCAGCACTTCCTAGGCCCCCACCCTGCGATGCTGCAAACCTCGCTGCGGCCTTTACCTGCACTGGAGGCGTGTGAGGCCCTATGAGGTGGCTCTGAGGGCAGGGGCAGGATGTGCCAGCCATGAGACAGGCAAGACCCACTGATGTCCTCAGGATTTGTCCATCATCCTGGGGACTGTCTGGCCTGCTGGCAGGTGACAGTGGCCTGTCCAAAAGCTACCTGATGATGAACCAGATGCAAGGGCAGGACTGTCTTCTGAGAGATGTCTCCCCCTCGGTCCTTCTGTCGCTTCAGACATTCCAGGTGGAAGGAGGCCCTTCGACCTGCAAAGTCAGCCAGAGAGCCAGGATCAGGGCAGAAAACAGGATGCTGGCCTGTGACAGTTCACACCCAGGTGGGCGCCAGGAGCAGTAACTGTGGCCCGGGACACTCCTCCTTTCCCCTCCCCTCATCTGAGACGTATTCTGAAGCATCTCTCTAGGGCTCATCCCTGCACATCCTGCCTTTGGAATGTTGTCTCCTTGCTTTGGAAATCTACCCAGCCCACTGTGAGAGGCTGGTCTGAGCCAATAACATGGTTATTGCCCTGAGTACCTGACCAGTGTCCTCTTGGGAGTAACCACCGACCACCCCTGGAGAGTGAGGTGTGCATTTACCTAGTGAGGCGGTGCGGAGGAAACCCCTCTTTGGGGATTGCCGGATGTCCCTCTTGTCCTCCTCTGGGAGTGTCAGTTGCCGATTTTCATCATCCTGGTAGGAGAGCCTGGAACAGAGAACTCTTGGGGCTTGCTCCTGGAAGCTGAGAAGTGGCCACCCACAGGGACAGCTGCATCTGCAGAAAGCACTTTGCTCTGATCCTTAGTGAAGGGATGCCCACTTTGTGCTTACATGCAGGTCAATTGCCACCCCAAGAAGTTCTGGCCTGCCCCTGGCACCTTCCAGGCCTGCTCACTGGGGGTTGCCAGCTCCTCACCTGCAGCCTGTCTCATGGGCCTGCAGTTCTGATTTGGGGAAATGAAGGGACTCTAGGGTCAAAGGTGTTAAGGAAGCTGAAAGAATCCTAGGCAGGTGAAGTTCTTTTGGGGAACGGCCCTGGCTCCCGTGTCTGTATGAACTGATGCTGTTTTCCCCAGTGACCCTCAACTTTAGCCCAAACTTATCCCCATCCCCGATTTCTCCCGGCTCTGCCACCCCCACCGCATCAACAAGAGAACATGAGCAGCTGCCTACAGCCACCCTACAGTCACTCAGTAGGTGAACAGCAGGGCTGTGAGGGATCTCAGGGGGCATCTATTCTATGGCCTCCAGGCCTTTGATGGAGACTCAATGAGAAGTAGATTTGACACCTTCCCATCATGCAGCCACACCTGATGGAATGAAACCTCATGCCCTTTGCTTACCCTCAGTGCATGCATTGCACCCTGGTGAGTCCTAGTCCACTTTAGTCTGTTCTATTTTATTAAAGTCTTGATTCACAATCCCTGCTGGGTCGGCCTGCAGTCTGAGAAGCACAGTTGCCTTCCAACCTCGTTCCCAGATGAGACCACTGACTCACTGGTCCCTGGTGCCACCCCACACCTCTGAGGATGACTCCATGCCTGCTCTTGGCACAGCACAGAGACTTGGGGAATTTTTAGATGTGCAGGAATGCTGGCTGAGTGCAGACCGCAGTATTTTGCCTTCAAGCCTTGCTCTTACTCTCAGCTAGGTAAGGCCTCCCTATCATATTTTTTTCTTATGCAAATCACCCCCACTCTTGCAGACCCAGCTACTGTTTAACCCTGTGCATGGTACCTGTTAAGGTCACCCTGCCCTCCACATCCTCTGAACGCCTGTACCCCTTGGGGTTGTACCTGTACCCTTGGGGGTAATTAGTGAGAAACTGTGTTATCTTCCTCCCCTGAGACCCTCTTAGTTTCCTAGTTTGTGGAATTTCCTTGAGGTTGGAGACTGGGTTCTTAATGACTTCACAGAGCACCTGGTGCACCAGGCATTCTAGAAGAACTGAAATAGGTTAAAACACATGCTCTTCCCGATTTCTAGGGCAGGCAGCCGGGCATTCATCTGTATTCTCTAAAAATCAACTTAGAGAATATGCTCTCATAAGGAGCTTCGGGTATTTCTCTTGGTTTTACATTGACTGCGTTTCACTGAGTCAGAAAAGTAGAAGGTCTGTCACCCCCAATGCCCCATTTTGCTGATGGGGACATGAAGGCACAGGGCAGCCGAGTAATTTGTCAAGAGTTGCTGGTTGGGACTCTTTACAAGTTTTTCCTTACTCACTGGACTCTTTTTTCTATGCCAGGGGAAAAGGAGGTGCCTCTGCTACTCTTCCCATCCAGTTCCTGGGCAGAAAGCACTGGAACCCAGGAAATCACACGCTGTGCTGGTCTGGCGGCTGATCTCCCCACACGCCCCCCAGTGGGGGGCCTGGTGCCCCCTCCCACCTCCTCCAGCCACACCTTTCCTGTCTTCAAAAGACTGCAAGGCTAGTCTTCCCTCACTCTAAAGTCCTTTCAGGAACTGACTGGACTGACATGCTGGGATGGGTTGGTGAGTGCCTCCTTTCTGCCCTGGGTCTCTGCAGGGCTCCTCCCTGTCAGCATCAGCAGCTCCAGGGTTCCCTGGTGGGGCTGAGAGAGGATACCCTGCATCGTGCCTGGCCATGCTTAACTGTGCTGCTCTTCCAGAGTGGGACACTGGCTCCCAGCAGGTGACACAGCCCCCCAGCATGCCAGATTCTTGACATGCCTGCCCTCCAGCTCAGAAAATAACTCTGAACCTTTGGAAAAGTGTCTATCCAAGGAGCAGGCACACCTGCTGCTGGCCTGCCCATCCCTCCAGAGGGCCTATTGTCAAGTGGCTGCGTGCAAGCCTATAGGGCCCAGGCATTTCCCCCTAGGGAAAATCCCATGCCTCAGTTTCCCTTTCTATGAAATTGGAATGACATATGCCCTGCCTGTCTCATAGGCCTGTTGTGAGTCACAAATAAAGTAACAGATGAGACAGAGCTTTGAGGTGAAAAATGCCAGAAAAGCTTCTGAAACAATGTGTCTCAAACTTCTGTGGATGTCACTCAGTCCTAAAGACGTTTCACAGGGAGACACCCTCGATACACACATCTGTTGGCAATTAAGCAAGTGTTTCACAACACAGGGCTTACCTTTGTGACATCGACGCACTCTGATAGTTTCTATTATGCTATGCTACGCCCACTTTTAAGGGCTAGTTGTTAGTGACCAAATGAATGTCACAACCTTCTAAAGGATCTAGATCTGCAGCTAAAATACTCTAAGAATTGCAGCAAGGACAAAAGATCTCAGGCATAGGTTTGCCACCAGCGCCCTCTTCTGGGCAGCTTTATTATAAGCAACGTGTTGAGACACTTGTTAATTGTCAATATACGTGTGTGAGCACTGAGTCTCACCAGAAAATATATTTATGCCTGTGTCTTACAGCCCAAAAGGTTTAAGAAGCAATGTTCACAAAATTTTCTGGCAAGGAAAGGTCAAGCTAAAAAGGGCATCGTGTGTGTGTGTGTGTGTGTGTGAGAGAGAGAGAGAGAGAGAGATGGAGGCTCCCATTTCACTAAGGAGATGACAAAGGCTGTGCAGGTGTTTCTCTGTGATCTCCTCTCCTCCTCCAATCAGCCCCAGAGGAGGGATCTCAGGGACTTGCCCCTGCCTCCCCAGATTTGTTCCCACACCCGGGCTGGCCTTGGCAGAGGGCAGCAGAGCTCACATCTCTGTGGAGAGCAGGCTGGGCTCACTGCAGGCTTCTGTGTCATTGTTCATCTTCACTTCGTAGGTCTCATCCTGAGATGTCTCCTCCTGACCCACCATGGCTGTCTGGCTCTCCCGGGAGTGGCACCTACAATATCCAAGAAGAAGAAAAACATCAGGAACTGCCAACCCTCCTCCCCTTCCTTCAGCAAGTAAAGCATCACACACGCACACACATGCATGCATACACACATGCACAAACACAAGCATACATATGTGAACAGGCACACAGTTGCTGGTGCCTTGTTTTCCTGTGATTGCTGATGGGTCCATGGAAGTATTAAGATTAGGGTGAGAGTCCCATTTGGGAGAAGGATGTCTACTGTTGATCCAGGGAGATCTGAGTCCTGACCCCAATTCACTTATCCTCTGGTCCAAGTTGCTTAGCACACCTCATGCCTCAGTTTCCCTTTCTATGAAATTGGAACGACACATGCCCTGCCTTAGAATCTGCCCCCCCACTCACTCCAGCTATGACACCTGGGTCTTTGGCATCTGGTACAGCTGAGAAGTCTCTGGCATCCTATTTTGAGTGGAAGCCTTACCTAGAGGGGTTTGCTCTCCTGAGCAGAGGGCAGTGAGCCTGAGTCCCTGCTGAGCCAGAATCCCTCCTGAGCTCCAGATCCTCACACACTAGGATGTGCTTTTCCCTCCTGGGACAGGGTCTTATGCTCACAGGCTGTGCCTTCTTTAGCTCTGGACCAAGGCCTCTTCCTTTTCCTGTCTAGCTCAGCTCAGTGCCTCCCTCTGTCTTGCTTTCTGTAGACCTTGCATGTTGGGCCCACTTTATCCTCAGATCCCCGAGAGCATCAGAGAAAGATCGTGGTCTATCCTCTCAGAGCTGAGTGCTAGATCAGTGCCCTGGCTCTGAGCATCACTGGCAGGGTAGGAGTAGTTCTCTCTCTCAAGGAGTCCTGCAGATTGCTACCCACCCTGCAGTGGGAAGGAAAGATGACAGGTGGGAGCTCCAAGAGGATTGGGAGTGGAGGGAAGTGGAGTGAGCTTTGGTGATGGTGTCGGGGGAGGAGTTGGAGGTGCAGGGCGGCAGCAGGCAGGTAACAGCACTTCTGGGGGCCCCTGGGCACAGGACGTGCTGGCCCATCCTTAGCACAAGCAATGCCAGGGCCTGAGCTGCCCTTAGCCTTGAGCTGTGACAGAGAGGACAAGGGAGCTGGGATGTGGGCTATGCTCCTCTTCTTCACCAAGCTGAAGCTTGGTGCCCTGTTGTTTGTGCTGTCTGCAGTGGGCAGAGGGAACCGACATTTCATGAGCACTGACTGTGTGCTGGGCACTGTGCTGGGTGCTTTGCGTGTGTTTTGCTTCATGGAGAGATGTATCTGTGGGGACAAGGAAATTTCCCAGGGTCTCCTCCCCAGCTCCTCTAAACATCTCTCACCCCTTATGTCACAGAGAACAAAGCCTCACAGGAAAATGCCCTTAGAGGGTAGGGATTTAATTCACCCTGAGATGCTAAAGATGGACATGGAGCCCTCCTTCAGCAGAGACTTTGATGAGGCCAGCAGGGGAGAAGTGGTGTGGGGATCCAGTACTTGAGTCCTCAAAGGCTATGGGGGGAAGGGAAGTGAGTTGCAGAGAAGGGTGAGGCCCCCACAACAAGTGCAGGCCCCCAAGACTAGATGCCCAGATTAGATCCTCTCCTATGTAAAGCTAGCCCTTCAGGCCAGCGCAGCAAATCCAGTGCTGAGCAAGCTGCCCTGAGCACAGAAGGCAGCAGTGCAGGCCTCATGAGTTGAGGGATGCCCCAGTGCTGCCTCTGGGTGGCTAAACCAGCCAGCTTGCAGAAAGGAAAGCAGACAGGGGATGGTCTTTTTAACTCGCCTGTCATCTGACATAATTAAATGCCTGGCCCTAGGGGCTTGCATGCAGCCACCTGAAAATGGGCCCTCTGGGGGGATGGGCAGGCCCGCGGCAGGTGCCTGCTCCTTTGATGGACACTTTTCCAGGGGTTTAGTGAGAAGCTCCCACTTCTCTTATTATTTTCTGAGCTGGAGGGCAGGCATGTCAGGAAGCTGACATGCTGGGGCGCTGTGCCGCCGGCTGGGAGCCACTGTCCTACTCTGGAAAAGCAGCACAGTTAAGCGCGACTAGGCACCTCTCTCAGCCCCACCAGGTAACCCTGGAGCTGCTGATGCTGACAGGGAGGAGCCCTGCAGGGGCCCAGGGTGGGAGGGAAGTCCCACCATCCCAGCATGTCAGAGCAGTGCATGCTAGAGCACAGGGGATCAGAGGACAAGGAGAAAAGACTGAGCAGGGTGGCCAGCCCCCGCTTACCTCTGGGAGCTGAGCTTCCACGCCACCTCCTGCACCCGAATGGCAGGGGACAATGGGGGCCCATGGCCCTCCACAGTGCTGACCGTGCTGGGGTGGCCAGCGGGGTGAGGGAGGCGGCCCAGGGCGGTGTTGTTGGCATTGTTGATGTTGGCGTTGGAGCCGGTGGACGAGTAGCTGCTGGGGGTGAAGGTGGAGTCCACCAGCTTCTCGTGGGAAGGCGACTCTGTGTCGCCCTGGCTGCTGCCTGCCTTGTTGATGTGCAGCGGGCGCTGAGTGGTGAAGGTCTGGGGGAAGGCGCTCCGGCCGTCACTTTGGTAGTAGCTGACGTGGTTGCCGAACAGGCCACCTGCCCTCTGTAGGCAAGAAGGACAGGTGGGTGGAGGAGAAGCCCCTCAGTGTCCACTCCTCCCAGAGAGCAGCTTGCACAGCCAGGCCAGTGGAATGCAGGGCCCGGGAATGCGGGCTGCCTTCCTTTGGGGAGGCGCAGCCCTGCTGGGAGCCAGGGGCACCTGAGGACCTTCTTCATGGCTGGCTGCTCCAGAGTGGGAGGGACCCACAGTCTCAAGGCTCCGGGCTCCCCTCTGCAGCAGCTGGGAGAACGCACACACTGGTAGGGACGGGACTGTGCAAGGGGCTGCCGCTGGTACAAGCTGCCCTGGAGGTTTCCAGTGAAGTCCCTGAAGGCTGGGAGTGAGTTTCCAGGGCACATCTCGGACGGTGGTCCCCGAGAGCAGCCAGCACACTGTGAGGGTGGGGGCTGGGAAAACGACCAGAAGATTCTAACCAGATTAAAAATAAATAAATCCAATGTGCTCACAGAGCTAAAAGCTATGTCGGCCAAACGGTTTTGAAAATGAGGAATTTCCTGCATGATGCTCTTTTTCCCCTCAGGGATTCATAGATAGTTAAAGCCAGGAGCCAGTGTTTTCCCCCAGTATCTTTTCCTTGTCCTGGGGAAGTGGGCAAGTAGCTTTTTGCAAGGTTGCAAGCTTCCACATCAGAACATCCCTGGGCCTTGGAGACTGAGCCTTTGATTTCTGGGGTCTTGTCAGGTGATGTCACAATCATGCCATGTCCCTGAGGCTACTCAGTGACGAATGTCTCCGGTGATGAGGATAAGGATAAGGAAGAGAAGGAGTAGGGGCAGGATGGGCTCTGCTTGCCCCCTGTTGTGTTCCACAGCCTGGGAACTGGGCCCTGGGCTGGGAGCGGGTGTGAACAGGGCCCTGCACAATTATGACTGGCAGCTTCTCCCTTGCTATAGGAGGAGTTTTAACCAAATACCAGCGGGGTGAGGCAGGTAACACAAGTGAATGATAAATGCCCCTTATTCTGGTATAGCTGTGTTTAATTTTCACTACTGCAACTGCTGGGCAGCTTCAGTCTCCAGGAAGGGAGAGGGAAAGGGGAGGACTTGAGGGGCTCGGAGACCTGGGGAACACATGCTGTGCTTCATCTCGAGGGGCAGCTGCCACTAGGCTCCAGCCCTCTGCTGCCCTGCTGGAATGTAAGCTCAAAGTTGCAGGTCTCCTGACTTTTCCAAGGAATGCCAGGAGTCTTGATTTTGATCTGAATGTACCAGATTTTCAAATAGTAACAAACAAAACAAGCCTGCAGATTAGATATGCCCAGGGGTGACCACTTTATAACTTCTAATGTAGAAGTTTCTCTTCTCCTAGGAAACATTTCCCTTGGGAAGACACTGTGAAATGCCGTTTCCAGGGAGCCCTGCCTTGGGATGGAGTCAGGCTTGGAAAAGGCAAAGGGGTGAGGACACAGCTGATCAGGAAGAGCCTGGAAGTGGCCCTGTCCTCTGGTGCAGCTCTTTCCCCTGGACGTTCTTGGCAAAACCCTGCCCACCCTCTTGCTCCAAACTGAACTTTATAGAGGCTGAAAGTGCGCCACAGCGCCACCCACCCTGAAGATGTCATCTTCAGAGGCAGCGGACACAGCCTCCTTCATGGCCTTGTCCAACTCCTCCTCAGCAGTGAGATCTCCAGAGATGGCCCGTCGGATCTCAGGCCCGATGTCATGCAGCGTGCGCAAGCCAGCCTGGAACCCAGAGGGAGGATGGTGAGGACCGCGCTCCCTTTCCTCTGAGCTCCCCAGCCAGCCACAGCCCAGGGCCAAGGCCTGTCCCTGCAGGGCCCTGGCATCCTCCACCCAGCCAGCTGACCCTCTGGAAGGTTTGCCTGTGTGTGAACCAGGGGCTGGGCTGCCCACTGATGGAAGAATCCATTTACCCATCCAGGAAGGATGAAGCCTCATTAGGAGGGGGTCCCAGGGTTCAGGGGCCATCATGGGAGCCTCAGTGAAGTGCTCAGAGCTCTGGGGGCTATGACAGCAGGCAGGACCATGGAGAGCAGTCAGTGACGGCAGGTGGGGAAGGGCACATCACCCCCTTCTCACAACCATCTTTGGAAAGGTCTGGAGCTCTCTGCAAGGTTCCCTCTGCAGGGACCTGGCCTCCAGCTGCTGGGGAGGGACTGGGACCCTGACTGGAGGTTAGAGGCAGTGACCAGGACCTTCCTGGAGTGTGGGCCCACCCCCAGACCCTCACCTGCAGAGACAGCGCGTTTCTCTGGGAGGGCTTGCCCACAAGGCCCTGCTCTTTACGCTTCTTGAACTTCCGGAAGTACTCCTGGATCAGGAACGTGGCATAGAACTTGCCAACGGTGACCTCATCATCTGAGACGTATGGAGAGGGGAGAGGGGGTAAGAGGGGAGCAGGGGAATTCAGTTGTACTTCATTTTTTTTCAGCATCCAAACTTTCTTTAACTTTTTAGGTTTAATTTTTTTGGAGAGGTAGTACATTCACAGGGCTTAAAAAGAGAAAAAAAATACATAAAAAGGCTTATAGTGCAAAGTGTTTCCCACCACAGCCCTTATGTGCCTAGTCGCCACCTCCTTGTAGATAGTCTAGTTTCCTGAGTATTTTCTCAGAGAGTCTTAGTGCAAATTATTTCTGTAAATTGACAAACATATTCTTATTCCATTTTTTTAAATGGAAAAGGTAGACTATTGTCAAAATTATTTTCTACCTTTTTTTTTAACTTTACTGATATTTGCTAACTCTTACTTAATTCCAAAATTTCAAATGTCCCTCATCAATTGGCCACTCTTCCAAATGCAAGTGCAACACAGTTCTGCCTAGGTTGGAGGGAGGGGTTGGTGGAAGGAGGGCTTTCTTCCCATGGAAGTTCAGATTTTTCTTTCAAACCAGATTGGGTTTTTGTGCTAGGTGGCTTGGTTGCATCCCTGCTGGGCTGGGTGTCCAAGATTACATGTGACATCATCAGTCCCTGTCCTGGGAGTGAACCTGATGGTGGAGAAGCCGTTAAGTTCCCACAGGAAACAGTTCGTGCCTGTAAAGAGCCTCTTGGTTCTTTGTCAAGAGATGCAGTGGGCCCAAGAGACCGCTGGGGACTAGATCTAGGGGCTGGTGAGGGTTCTCTTTCTCCTGCCTGTCCCTCAGAAATAACCAAATCCATAGCAGTGATGACCCCCACTTCTCTGGCGAGGGCCCCATTTCCAAGTGGGAGGGAAAACCCAGGGTCCCCTGCCCAGTATAGTCAGGAAGGAAGAACTGAATGGTGGGACAAGCCTGGAGTCCTAGGTTTCCTGGGCCTGGGTTTGAATCCTGAATCTGCTCTGGACTCTCCAGGTAACCTTGGGTCACCAACTCAGCTTCTAAGAACTTTAAAGTTCCCTGAGCAAACCTCACAGAAATGTTGTCAGGGTTCAATAAAATAATGCATTTGAAACATCATGTGGCATTGGCCTTCTTACAGGATTTTCACTTAGCCCAAGTCTGGCCTTCCCTCTGGCAAGTGGTTCTCAATACAAGTGGTGTCACCTCTTAAGGAGCACACAGTAAATGTGTAGGATGGTTTTTAGTTGTCAGGGTGCTGCGGGGTGGCACCAGCATTAAGTAGCTCCAGACCTGTCCCTTAAAGTGCAGGCACGTCTTGCAATCACAGCTTTGCACTCTGCATGGCTTTCAAACCTATGCCACACATCCATGATTCTGCTCATGACTCCCTGAGATCAGAACATAATTTCACTTTGCAAAGGAACACAGGACATTTTTTTTTGGCATGGTTTTAACATACCTGAAAATTTCCAGGAATACAACTGTGTAAATTGATGAAAACTATACCTTGGGTTATTTGAACTTGGCCAAGAGAGGTTCGCATTTTTGAAAACTGTATTCCTGACGACAATGCTCTTTGTGGTATCTGGGTCACCCACCGTAAGCATCACATCATGGTTATTTCAATGTGTAAGGATGTGTGTGTGTTTATGTGTGTGGGACTATTTATTCACACACTTATTTAATATACTTATTTACCTTTTATTTCAAAATGTCAAATATAAAGTGTTGACAATATTCAGTATTGTCGTATTTCCTGTAAATCCAGCCGTACGTGTTGTAAGTGGGTACATGAGAAGATGTCATCAGTTAACTGTATCTTCTAGTATGGTTATGCCTATTTACATATTGAAGACATCTGCTTTTAAGAGACTTTATATTAGAGTGAAGACATTATATTAATATATTATACATGTTATATGTTAATATTAATATATTATAGAATTATATTAATATTTGGAAATTATATGTATAAGAAAGTTATATTACCTATAATTTTCATTTGGAAAAAAAACAAAGAAAAAATAAACTCTTTGCTATAAAAAGGGATTTGGAGCTTGATAGGGTCAAGAAACACTGCTCTTGGAAGAACAAAAAGAATTTCATCCAAGAGGGGAGGAATCTCGGGGATTCTTATTTCAGGGCCTCAGAGCAATCCTACAGCAATCAGGTTTATGGGAAACCTATACCTTGTGGAGTTTCCTTAGAAGTTCTGCCAAACCCCCAAGTGTGAAGGGACTCACCTGTTCCCCTGTGTAAAAAGCAGAGTCGCACCAGTTTCCAACCTGACATTCTGTTTCTGAGTTTGTGCAGGGCATTGTACCTTTGTCTCTTCTAACCAATAGGGCCTTTGAGCCCACAGGAAGGGTCTGAAGGCAGACCTCCAGCAAGCCTAGGGGACTCAAGAAGCAAGTCTCATGGGATGCTTCTGCATTCTAAGGGTGCCACAGCTGGAGGAGAGGCAGGCAGAGGAAGGCACAGCCAGGCAGTGGCCAAGGTACGGGAGTCCAGGAAGCACTCACCACCTGCAGGGGGCACCACCTGGTCCAGCAGCTTCATGCTGGTCCGCTTCCAGATCTTCTTGATGATGGCCCGCAGCTCCTCGTTGGCTTGTTCTAGGTTCCCTGCAGAGCGGAAAGGATCCTCAGCCCCTGGGTGGGCCTCTGATGGGCTGGGTCCCTCTGCGTAAGGTAGGAAGCCACAGATGGTGGCATCTGCCCCACGCAACCCTGACTCATCAGTTTCTTTCTCTTTTGCTTCACTTCTCCCCAGTCTTCCCATTTTCCACCTCCTTTCTCTTCCCCTTCCTCTCTCCATCTTCCTTCTTTCCCCTTTCCCTCTCCTGCATTGTCCAATGCCATCCCTCTCCCCTTCCCCGTGCCTGTGGCTCAGGCCAGCCAGCGGGCCCTTCTGCTGACACTCAGTGCTCTTCCTTGTAGACTGAGCCCAGCCCCTAGGCAGCAACAAAGGCGACCATGTGCTCAGCAGCTGGAACATGCATGGCCCTGCCATGGGCAGTGGAGGACAGCTCCCTACGGGTGGCATTTCTCATGGACCTCCTTTGGCAGCCACAGGGGACATGGATGATTGGAGGGTACATCTGTCAATGAGGGCCCTGTCCTGAGTTCCCCTACTTAGATGTCTGTCCCATGCAGCCTCTGGGGTCCTGGCTTTACAGTGGTGTAAAAGGAAAGCTGAGACCTACAGCTGTGAGCAGATGTGGAGGTGGGATTCTAAGATGCTCCACTCCAGGGCACACATGTTGCCAAAGCCCTGGGCCCCTGACCATGATAGATTTTGCTTCTGAGACTAGGTTATATGGCACACAGCACCCATGGCCTAAGACAGAGAGGTCAGGTGGGCCTGACCCAGTCACATGAGCCCTTTAAAAGCAGAGTTCTCTCCAGCTGGCCTGGAAGAAAGCAAACACTCATGTGGGCTGAACTAAGAGAGGCAGCCTCTAGGAGCTGAGCGGGTCCCCAGCTGTCAGCCAGCAGGAAAGTGAGGACCTCAGACCTACAATTGCAACAGATGAATTCCACCAACAATGAGATCTCCCCCAGAGCCTCCAGAAGAGACCACGGCCTGATCAGTATCCTGGATTTGCCTTATGAGAGCCCAGCTTCACCACTGCTGGACTTCTGACCTGCAAACCGTGAGATAATAATGAGGTGTCTTTTTAAGCTGAAAAGCTTGTAGTAAATTTGTTTCACAGCACTAGGAATGTTCCACATTCAACCATGATACTGGACTGCTGGTCTTATGTGAGAGCAGTAGGGGATGTTTACTGCTCTTGCCTAGGACCAGCAGTTCAGTATCATGGTTGAGGGCTCTCATGTCAGACTGCCTGCGTTCAAATCCACCTCTGGGGCCACAGGGCAGAGCATGCAGAGGTGGCAGTGGAGTGAGTGACAGAATCCCGAGCTCCCTGAACGTCAGATCCAAACAGGACCTGAGGTCAGGGGATGACTCCCGGGCCTACCAGCTATGCAGGTGATCAATCCCCTTCATGGGAGAGGCAGCTGGAGGTTTCTGACAAGCAGTGAAAGATCCTAACACATATGGTATTCAAATATACTTAGCTTCAGCACTGGGCCGAAATAGTGTCCTTCCAAAATTCATGTCTGCCTAGAGCCTGGGAATGTGGCCTCAGTTGGAAATAGGATTTTCACCAATGTAATTAGTTAAGATGAGGTCACCCTGGATAAGGGTGGGCCCTAAATCCAACATGGCTGGTGTCCTTATAAGAAGAGGAGGGGACACAAGACCCCAGGGACTACGTGAAGATGAAGGCACAGATGGCGATGCTGCTGTGAGCCACCAGGCATCGTCCACAGCCCTCAGAAGCTGGGAGAAAAGGTGGAACAGATTCTCCCCAGATCCTCCAGAAGAAACCAACCCTGCTGATACCTGAGTTTTAGACCTCTGGCCTCCTCAACTGAGAGAAGAATTTGCTCTTGTTTCAAGCTGCCCAGTTTGTGATCATTTGTTACAGCAGATCTAAGAAATTAACACATCTTCCAAAAGGACCTTTCATTTTTTTTTAAAATCACACCTTAGTTTATCTTCATAATGGTCTATGTAATTGTGGAAGTTCACTGACAATTGTTTCATGTCATCTAAGTATTTTTCAATATCTTCCTTCTATATTTCAAGAGAAAAAAGCTTGTTTGGCTTGGTACTGGAGTTGGGGTGAGAGATCTGGTTCTCGGAAGTAGGTGTTAATTTCTCCCCAATTCCCGCCACTCTGAGAAGTCTGAAGGGTGAGGACTGATGTAAGCCTTATCCTCACAAATGTAGATGTCTTCTCACATTTCTTTCTAGTTGCTTCTAAGACTTGACTTTGTCTTCCTTCTTAAGATTTTACCAAGTTTGTGGAGGGCAGGCCCTTTGGAAGCTGTTCTGAAATGTTTCTGTGTTTAAAAAGATAGTCCTTAGTTCTTGACATGATTGTAGTTCTCACATGGCTGGCTTCTCTCCTTTTCTCTGGAACTCCTATTTCCTCAAAACTGGGCCTTTGCATTTGATTGGTCAGTCTTTTGCATTGTTACTAGCTACTGGTCTTCCTTAGCTGGCATGTGGTTTGCTTTGACAGTGAACCTTTGACTCTGCTGAATCCTTGCTTCCATACCTCCCTGCCTGTTCTTCCTCCACGGCACAAAATCTTACATCCGTAATTTACGTCAAGCTTTAAGTATTACAGCATATTCCTCCTGAGAGTCATCATATCGCCTCTCCTTCCCTTTGAACATAGGGTAGTAATACTCTTTGTAGAAAATTTGGAAAGTAAAAAAACTAAAGGAGTAAGGTAGAAGTCACTGCTGATCTTTCTACTCATGACAATCAATATTAACACAGTAACACATTTTCTTCCCAGTTTTCTTCTGTGTTATGTACACATGTGTGTATAAAATGTGTGTTTTGGCTGGGTGCGGGGTGGCTCACGCCTATAATCCCGGCACTTTGGGAGGCCAAGGCTGGCAGGTCATGAGGTCAGGATATGGAGACCATCCTGGTCAACATGGTAAAATCCTGTCTCTACTAAAAATACAAAAATTAGCTAGATGTGGTGGCGTGCTCCTGTAATCTCAGCTACTCAGGAGGCTGAGGCAGAAGAATCGCCTGAACCAGGCAGTTGGAGGTTGCAGTGAACCAAGATCACACCACTGCGACAGGGCAAGACTCGGTTTCAAAAAAAAACATGTGTGTTTTAGTTTTCTGGTAGTCAGAAATCAGCCTATTTATGTCCATTTCAGATTGAGTGATTGCATTGGCTACTGATGGTATAGTTTTTTAGCCTTTGCTTTTTTTTTTTTTTTTTAGTTTAGTAGCAAAACTTGTCCTATTTTTATTTTTAATTTAATTTGATTTTATTTTTTCAGACAGTGTCTTGCTCTGTTGCCCCAGGCTGGAGTGCAGTGGCACGATCTCAGCTCACTGCAGCCTCTATCCACCTCCCAGATTCAAGTGATTCTCCCGCCTCAGCCTCCCGAGTGGCTGGGACTACAGGTGCTCACCACCATGCCTGGCTAATTTTTGTATTTTAGTAGAGATGGGGTTTCACCATGTTGGCCAGGCTGGTCTTGAGCTCCTGATCTCAGGTGATCCACCTGCCTCAGCCTCCCAAAGGGCTGGGATTACAGGCATGAGCCACTGTATCTGGCCCTTAGTTTTATTTTTTTAAAATCAGCTCATTATTTTGACTTTTGGTGGATTGGTTCTCATTTCCCTCCATTTCAAATGTTTCTGTAATTTTTTGGGAGGATCTAACTGAGAGAAGGCCCATCTCTGGTCTGTTCAATGAATTAAATTCCCAGGTGTCATCACCTTTCTCTAGCCTACAAATGAAGCAACTGAAGTAGAGACAGAGTAAATGGCTCATACTCTTGTCATTAGTGAGAGAGCAGGGACTCAGATTCCATCTCCCTGCCCAGGGCTCCTTCTGTTTCCCCAAAGGAAAAGACTGATGGACAGCCTGCGCTTTAAGCTGGAAGCGTGGGAAGGGGGAAGAAGCATACTGCTTGTTTCATCCGTGTTTTCTCTAATTACTACACGGTTGGGTTTGAATCATCTCTGTAGCTGGTTCAAAATGCAGATTACTTGGCCCCACGCTCAGGGAGCTGGCTTCAGCAGATCTGTGGGGTGCCTGGGACTCAGTAGCTTAAACAGGTGTGCACAGCTGCTTCTGCAGCAGGTGGTCTTTTGACCATGCTCTAAGAAACACCAGACAGGCTAAGGCTAGGCACTCTTGGAGAGAAATGGCATCTTCTGAGGTAAATTTAATACAGCCTTTCCCACAGTGGTTCGCAAACTCTTATCCATTGTAAAGTGAGCAGGTTATCTCACTCAGGCTGCTGCTAGCCTTAGGGTGCCTTGTGAAAACTAGAAGGGCCCCTCCTGGTGGACACAGCCCTGAGGGAGCCCGGTCTGACTAGGTGGCACAGGTGAGGTCTGAATCCTCACCTGTCGGCCAGCTGATAGCCTTGAGCCAGGCTCAGCTGACACGATGTGTGCAGTGACCTCCACCACAGCCACCACTTGTCACTATGTCCCCATTCCCAGATGTCTTCATAGCACTGTCCTAATAATTTAAAGAGTTGCGTGTTTGAGACCCCTGCCTGTAGCCAGTGTAAGTCCTTTTAGACAGGGGTTGGTCCTGCTTCAGGGAACACCCGTCTCTTCCTGTTTTGTGAGCTATACCCTCTGACTTAAGACACTTCCCAGAATGCGTCCCAGAGTTTCATGGAAAGCTAGAGTTCAAAATGAATAAGCTAGAGCAAGCTTGTCCAACCCACAGCCATCAGCCACCTGCGGCCCAGGACGGCTTTGAATGTGGCCCAACACATATTTGTAAACTTTCTTAAAACATTGAGGTGTTTTCTTTTCTTTTCTTTTTTTTTTAAGCTCATCAGCTATCGTTAGCTATCATTAGTATATTTTATGTGTGACCCAAGACATTCTTCTTCTTTCAATGTGGCCTAGAGAAGTCAAAAGATTGGATACCCCTGAGCTAGAGGCAGGGAGGCCATTCAGGAAGCAAATAAGTCATGAGCAGGCTGGGGCCCTGTGACATCCTGGAGCACAGGTTACTCTCATATCCCTGCTCGGAAGCTGTCTGGGGCAGGAAGGTCCCTCGAGCGCTTTGCAGGCTGCTGAGCTCCTCTCTGATTGTCTGCTAGACTGTCTGAGTGGCTCTCCAAGTGCCCACAGGTGCCCTTACCTTCTGTTTTGATCCTCAGGGCCGTCCTGACCAGAGCAAACAGGGTGGCATTGAACATGACCGTCCCGTCGCTGTTCAGAGGCATGTTCATGGAGACCAGGCGCTGCAGGGGAAGGGGGGAAAAGCTGGTGACGATGGCAGGTGGTGCTTAGGGGACCACAGAACACCATGGCAGAGTGATATGGTTTGGATCTGTGTCCCTGCCCAAATCTCATGTTGAACTGTAATCCCCAGAATTGGAGGTGGGGCATGATGGAAGGTGACTGCATCATGGTGGTGGATTTCTCACAAATGATTTAGTACCATCCCCTTGATGAGTGAGCTCTCATGAGATGTGGTTGTTTAAAAGTGTGTGGTCCCTCCCCCTTCTCTCTTGCTCCCTGTCTGTCCATGTGACGCACCTGCCTCCCCTTTCCCTTCCACCATGATCGGAAGCTTCCTGAGGCCTCCCCAGAAGCAGAATGCTAGTGCCATGCTTTCCATACAGCCTGCAGAACTGTGGGCCAATTAAACCCATTTTCTTATAAATTACCCAGTCTCCACTATTTCTTTATAGCAGTATAAGGATGGCCTAATACATAGAAGATGCTGGGGGAGACACAGCTTGTGTGGGTGTTGTTGGAGTAGGCAGGGAGTGAATACTCCCTGAAGCATTCCAGGGAGAATCTTGCCTTCACCATAACTACTTTTGACACTCATCACAGAGTGGGAAAGGTATGAAATTTGTCCTCATTAGACCCTCACTTCCACAAAAGGATGTGAAGCCCACCCAACCTTGCGCCCCGCTTGAAAGCCTGCTCAGGCGTGCAGGTGTGCTCTCCACTGGCAGCAGAGGCCAGCTGCACGCCATCATGTGCTGGGAGCCCACCTGTCAGGCAGCATTTGTCCACAGCCCAGAGAAAGGATCACAGGAGCTTTGCCTGCAGGAGATGCTGCCTGTCCTGTCTATTGACAAATACGCTTCTGCATCAAGCCGGAGCAGATGCTTGCTGATACTGGGTAGTGCTATCTTACCTTCTTCTTTGCAAGGGCACCCCCAAAACAGGCTTCCCTGGCACTGAAGGCTCTGGTGTGGGGCTCTCAGCATGCACTGGGCCATGATGAGGATGTGTGATGTGAAGATCATCATGGCGTCCATGCTACAGGAATGCTTAAGGCGAGCTGTTTGTCTACTAACACGGTGACCTCCTGCTAATCTCAGTGTCTAGAAGGGTTACACTTTTCCTGAGTGACCAGATGTTGATGACCTGAACCTCATGGACAGTGTGAACTGTATCATGGCCACTGGAAAGTTTCACACCCAGGCTTCAACCGGCCCAGGCCCACCCTGAGGTACATGAACCCCCTCCAAGCTGCACCCCTCCCCCGACCCTCGCTTTGCATGGTGTTTGCACCTTGCATTTATTTTATGCTCCCTTTTTCTGATCTTTTCTGTGCCCTTGGAAATCTCTTAAAATCTGTTTTTTGGAGCAGAGTGGAGGCACACCTGAGAAGAAACTCAGTGAACAGGGCACAAGTAGACGGTTCTGTGTGCCCTCGATCTGTGTTTTCCGTGAATGGATTCTCACAGGGCCGAATCCTCCTGCCTCTGAGTTTCCTCCTCTCTCTATCCCTCCAGTCTCCCTTCCCAGCTCTCCGTCAGCTCATTATTGCCCCAACAGGGAGCACAGAATGACTAGGGTGGAGAGGAGGGGAGGAATAGAAATGACACTCTTTTTAGGGTCACGGTCTCACTAAGGAATCTGATTAAAGTGAGAAATCCTCCCCCTGGTAAAACTTTGTATTTTAGTGATTTTACGTACAATTTTAGGACTCACAGACCCCTGAAGTCAATGCCTGGACTCTCTAATGGCCCTCCAGCTCCAGTAAAAGAATTCCTAACCCCTCTAGCCTAGGCTGAGAAGTCTCCCATCCCAGGGTGCCTGGATGGTGCAGTGGGATGGGCTGAACAAGCCCTTTATCCAGAACTGGGCTCCTGGCTCACTGGGACATGAGGCATTCACTCTGTTATTCCCTTATGGAGTCTGAGGACTTAGAGCTGGAAGCACCCTTAAGATGTAATCTGGCTCAGGCTCCTTCCTTTGGGCCTAAAACTAGTATGTTCTTTCCCTTAGAGGATCACAAGAAACGGGCACTTTGCCTACCCTGTTTTCTCTCTTCCTCCCATGAACCCAGTCATCTCTTACTTTGCAAGCCACACGGTGAGGGCACAGCTTCCCAAAACCTAGTGGGGGCTGAATCCGCCGGAGAAGGGTCACCACGTCCAGGTGTTTGATACGACCCCTGGAACAGGAAGGAGAAAGGAGAGGAGGGACAGAGCATCAGAGAGTCATGGTCTCTGCTAGCAGCTCAGGACACATGCACCTGAGGGGTACAGCCCACTCATATGGGGAACGCTGCATGGTGTGGTGGCCCGATTAGTCGCACTCAGTGCAGAGTTGCAGAACTGCATGACACAGCCCCAAACCAATACACACGTTTAGATTTTAATGAGTAATTTTCTGCCCATGCTATGTTCAAGGTGGAAGGGGTTTTAGCAGCACAACAGAATTCTCAATATGTACTTGATGATTGAACGAACTAACCTTTAAACCGAAAGGTATTTACCGAGGGTCAGTCAAATGATCTTTAGACCAGAAGCAGGAATGGAGTCAAGATTTTTCCCAACCTACATATCCTAACTTCAACACTTACTAGTTATTCCTGATACTAGAATTTCCTATCCTTCCATTCAACTGAATATTGCATATGTAAATATATTTTGAGATGGAGTCTTGCTCTGTCACCCAGGCTGGAGTGCAGTGGCGTGACATCAGCTCACTGCAACCTTCACCTCCTGGGTTCAAGCAATTCTCGTGCTTGGCCTCTGGAGTAGCTGGGACTATTAGCGTGTGTCACCATGTCTGGCTAGTTTTTGATTTTTAGTAGAGATGGGGTTCACCATGTTGGCCAGGCTGGTCTTGAACTCCTGGCCTCAAGTGATTCACCCACCTTGGCCTCCCAAAGTGCTGGGATTACAGGTGTGAGCCACCATACCTGGCCTAGTAGATATATTCTTGACTTTGAGGTGCTGGGCCTTGTCCTGCTGGACCTTGACCCTTCACCCTGGGGTTTGATGCAGTTCAGTGTTTCCAGTTGATCCACGCAGTGTTGGCCCACTTCGAACCCCTTCTGCAGGTGTGGTCAGCTATACCCCTCTCAGCTTGGGGAATCAGGATTTCCCTCTGGGAACTTACTTGGCTTCAGGGTCATACTCTGCCCAGATTCTTTTAAACTCATCCAAGTGGTGGGGACCAAGGATGGACCAGTCCCTTGTCAGGTAGTCAAAGTTGTCCATGATGACAGCTACAAAGAGGTTGATGATCTGTGGGAAACAGTACCATGAAGTGCTCTGAGAAGACGTTCCTACACACCTGCCTCTGGAACCCCCTTGCCAGCCAGGGCCCATAGATGGCAGAAGCCAACATTTCTAAAGACCAGTAATCCATCTTGCCAGTCTTAGAACTACCAGTCTTGGGTCTCTTGGACATAACCTTGACACAGCTTCCCTGAGAGTTGCGTGGGATGAACCCACATCTGGGCTACAGCTTCCCTCCTACTGAGCTGCTGGGCAGGGCTGCCCAGGAGGGGGACTTTATCCCCTTTCCCTCACTCCTCAGCAAGATGCTAAAAAGGATAGTTCTTTCTAGGCCTCCGAATGTCCCCTTTGTCCTCTGGGACAATGCCACTATGACAAGAGCCAAGAATGGGCAAGCAAGATGCTGGTGGCGCTCACTCTGGCCCAGGGCTTTCTGCCTTTCTCTCCATGTGGCTGGACACTCCTGCCAACTTAGTCTTCCCAAGCCAGCTCCTCTGATGGGGTTGCCCTGACCATGAGCTGCAGAGATGGAGGGCTCAGGCTGCCCTGGAACTGGGCACTCATGACTGGTAGCTGTTGAGTCCCCCGTCGGCTTACCAGGAAGGCACAGAGCATGTAGAAGCTGATGAAGTAGAAGACGGCAAAGCTGCTGCCACAGGGCGTTTCACCCTCCGTGCTGTTGCTGGGCTCAGACTCTGGAGCACACTTCTTGCCTGGCATGCAGGCCAGCATGATGTCTTGCCAGGCCTCCCCAGTGGCACACCTGGAGGGGAGGGAGAGCCCACAGCCATGCAGCCCATCCTATAGACTCCAAGGAGGGCCCTCTCATCCTTCACCACCTTTCCTTTCCTCCTTCCCCAGAGGGAATTACTAAAATGAACTCGATGTTCATCATTCTCCAAATGCTCTGGTATGTTCACTAAATATGCAAACACACAGCATTATTTTGGAGATTTAAAAATTTTACATAAACAGTAACAAATTGCACGTTTTCTGAAAACTTGCTGTTTTTGCAATCCGCGCGATGTTTTTGAGACTTAGCGCTTTGGATGTAGTTTAGTTCTAGTTCTTTCACCTTGACTGCTGTATAGTATGCTACATGAACGTACCATAAAAAAATCCACTGTCCTGTTAAGGAACATTTAGGTTTTTCATTTTTTCTTTTACTAGGACAAATAACACTGCAATAAACATGCAGGTTTATATCTTAGGTATACACTTAGAAGTGGGATTGCCAGTTAAAGTACATGTATCTTCATTTTTACTAGATATTCCATGTTTGTCCAACTTAGACTCCTATCACCAGTGTAGGAGACATGACGTTACTGTACAAACTCATCAATTCATTACTGAATTGTTTTAAATGTTGCTCATATGATGTGTGTGAGACAGGTCACTGCTGCTTTAATTTGGTTACAAAATGATTGATTAGTGGGTTGAGAATTTAGATATTTATCTTCCATTAAATTGCATGTTCATATTTTTGCTTGTTTGATTCAGGTTGTTTTCTTGCTCGTTTGTAGGGTGCTTAAGATATTCTATTCTCTATTCTTTTAAAAAATTTCAACAGTTTTTTTTGCAACAGGTAGTTTTTGCTTACGTGAACAAGTTCTTTAGTGGTTAACTCTGAGATTTGGTGCACTCATCACCCAAACAGTGTACACGGTACCCAATGTGTAGTCTTTTATTCCTGACTGTCCTCCCACTCTTCCCCGAGTCCCCACAGTCTTATGCCTTTGCATCCTTACAGCTTAGCTCCTACTTATAAGTGAGAACACATGATATTTGGTTTTCCATTCCTGTTACTTCACTTAGAATACTTCACAAATTCATCCAGGTTGCTGCAAAATCCATTATTTTATTCCACTTTATGACTGAGTAGTATTCCATGGTGTATATACGCCACATTGTCTTTATCCATTCATTGGCTGACGGACATTTAGGTTAGTTCCATATCATTTTTTCTTTCTTTTTTTTTTGAAACAGAGCCTAGCTCTACCACCCAGGCTGGGGTGCAGTGGCACAATTTCAGCTCACTGTAACCTCCACTTCCTGGGTTCAAGCGATTCTCCTTTCTCCTGCCTCGGCCTCCCGAGCAGCTGGGATTACAGGCATGCACCACCACACCCTGCTAAGTTTTGTATTTTTAGTAGAGATGGGCTTTCACCATGTTGGCGAGGCTGGCCTTGAACTCCTGACCTCAAGTGATCCGCCTGCCTTGGCCTCCCAAAGTGCTGTGATTGCAGGCCTGAGCCACCACACTCAGCCTGTTCCATGTCTTTCCAGTCACAAATTGTGCTGCCCTAAACATGTGTGTGCATGTCTCTTTCATATAATGACTTCTTTTCCTTTGGGTAGATACCCAGTAGTGGGACTGCTGTATGGAATAGTATAGTATATCCCTTTTAGTTCTTTAAGGAATCTCCATACTGTTTTCCATAGTGGTTGTATTAGTTTATATTCCTACCAGCAGTGTAAAAGTGTTCCCTCTTCACCACAACCTTACCAACATCTATTATTATTATTTTTTAAATTATAGCCATTCTTGCAAGAGTAAGGTGGTATCTCATGGTGCTTTCATGTCAATTCTTAATTCTTCGTTAGTTGTATGCAACAGAAATATCTTCTTCCAATCTGTGACTTGTCTCTAGCATTATCATTTTTTTTTAAATTTTTTTTAATTTTTTTTTTTTGAGACGGAGTTTCGCTCTTGTCACCCAGGCTGGAGTGCAATGGTGCGATCTCGGCTCACCACAACCTCCGCCTCCTGGGTTCAGGCAATTCTCCTGCCTCAGCCTCCTGAGTCGCTGGGATTACAGGCACGCGCCACCATGCCCAGCTAATGTTTTGTATTTTTAGTAGAGACGGGGTTTCACCATGTTGACCAGGACGGTCTCGATCTCTTGACCTCGTGATCCACCCGCCTCGGCCTCCCAAAGTGCTGGGATTACAGGCTTGAGCCACCGCGCCCAGCGTCTCTAGCATTATTTATGGTGTATTTTGGTGAATCTAAGTTTTTTATTTCAGCGAGGTCAAATTTATAATTTTTTCCTCTATGTTTTGTGCTTTTTGGATCTTGTTTAAAAAATCCTTCCCTATTTTAGGTCATAAAGACATTCTTTTCTGTGTTCTTCTAAAGGTTCTAAAGTTTAGTTTTTCACAATAACTTATTAACTTGAAATTTACTTTCAGGTTTGATATGAGGTAGAAATATGCTTTTTTTTTCTGTATAGATAAGTAATTTTATTAATACTATTTATTGAATTGTACACCTTTACCTACTTAATTGGAATATTTCTTCTGCCATGAGCTGTATTTTCATAGGTGTGTGGGTCTCGTGCTAGTTTTTGCATTCCATTCCTTAGGTTTATTTGTTTATCTTGGTACCGATGTACCGTGTTGTCTTCATTCCTACAGCCTTATAGTAAGTCCTGCCCTCTCACAGAGCAGGAGGCCTTCCGACTTGTTGTTCTTCAACATTTGTCTTGGCTATTCAGTTTCCTTTTCTATTCCACAGACACATTAGAATCAGTTTCAGGCTCTATGAGTAATCCTGTTGGGAGTTTTATTAGAATTGCTGAGATATCTATTAATTTGGGGAATCCTGACATCTTTATGATATTAAGTCTCCTGGCCAGAAATGTGGCATATCTCTCCTTTTATTTTGTTGTACCTTTAAAATGGTATAGTTTCAACGTTATATTTTAAACGCTGTATCTGTTTGCTGCTGATATAGAGGGAATACAATTAATATCATATTACAGAATATTTGCTAAGCTCCCCTCTTAGTTTTAGCAATTTTCTGTAATTTTTCTTGTATATATACACAGGCTATCAGTTTTTTTGGCATTTAATTTTGTTTCTTCCTCTCCAATTCTTAGCCTTTGCTTTATTTTTCTTGTCTTGTTTTATTGGGCAAGAGTTACAAAATAATAATATTGAAAAAGTAATAGCATAAGATCTTGTCTATTATATTTCTAATTAATTATTACCAGTACAGGAAAGCAATTATTTTTCTTTGTTAATATTTTAATCTTCCACTTTATTAATTGTGTTGTCATAAAAGGTTCTTAGTTAATTTGCATAGATTTTCTACTTGAATTAGCCTATTGTCTGCACACAATGACAGTTATGTGTACATATTTTCATATTTATAACTGCTTGCTTTTTAATCTTTTTCTTATTGGCATTAATTTTATATTAGTCTTACGGGATGAGTGAGGAGGTTTTCTACAGCTTTCTGTCCCTGGAAAGTTTATATAACATTGTAATGATCAACTATTTCATAGACCTCACAAATAAAAATATTGAATATTGGGCTTTTTCAAAGGCTAAATTTTTGACTACCTTTTCAATTTATGTTGTAGTTTTTTTCTTTTATTCTTAAGATAACTTTATAATTCCTTTTTTCTACATAAAAGCGTCTGCTTCATTTAGGTTTTCAAATATATTGTCATAAATTTGTTCATGATGTTCTCTGTCTTCTTATTTCAATCTGATATTATTTGTCTGCCACTTTTAGAAAAATCTTGTGTGTGTGTGTGTGTGTGTGTGTGTTTAGAGATGGGATGTCACTTCGTCATCCAGGCTGGAGTGCAGTGGAGCCATCTTAGCTCACTGTAACCTCAAACTCCTGGGCTTAAGTGATCTTCCCACCTCCGCTTCTCAAGTAGCTGGGACTACAGATGATTGGCACCACACCTGGGTAATATTTTGATTTTTTATTTTTAGAGATGTTGTTTTGCCATGTTGCCCAGGCTGGTTTCATACTCCTGGTCTTAAGTGAGCCTTCCACCTCAGCCTCCCAAGTTGTTGTGAGCCGCCACACCTGGTGAAACTTTTATTTTTGATAGACTGAGAAGCTCTCAGTGGGCATAGCCTCCATGTCTTGGAGATCCGTTCCTGGCATTTATCTTTGGTATCCTTCATTCTCTTGGCCAAAAGTTTAGCATATTATTTGACCTCGTCCTTATTATTATTACTATTTTTGAGACGGAGTCTCTCTCTGTTGCCAGGCTGGAGTGCAGTGGCATGATCTCAGCTCACTGCAACCTCCACCTCCTGAGTTCAAGCGATTCTTCTGCCTCAGCCTCCTTAGTAGCTGGGATTACAGGCATGTGCCAGGCTAATTTTTGTACTTTTAGTAGAGATGGGGTTTCACCATGTTGGCTAGGCTGGTCTCGAACTCCTGACCTCATGATCCACCTGCCTCGGCCTCCCAAAGTGTTGGGATTATAGGCATGAGCCACCACACCTGGTCATCCTTACATGTTTTTTAGTGTTCTGTTTCTTCAGAGCAATACGTCAGCATTTGTGTTGTAGGACATGTGGAGTGAGAAGATGCTGAGTCTTGGGTGCTCTGGCCCTAGGTTCCTGACATCCTTTGTTTAGGGGCTTACTGACAACGTACTGGTGGACATCATCTTTATAGAGGAGGAAATGTTATTGAACTGTGCCATCTCGTTTGGATCCCCGGTGAAAAGGCACAGTAGTATCAGTCAGTCTAGAAATATCCTTCTCTCCCCGCTATCTTTTTTTACAATAACTAAATTAAGAACAGTCAGATTGGCACCAACAATGCAACCCTGAACAATCTGCTTTCCTTCTCCAGTTCTCCTTGGTTTATGTCAGAATGCCCGTATGCAATAGCAGGTGGACACAACCACAGGTCAGGACATGCTACTTCATAAGGAAGCCATGCTTATCATTGTACCATTGGTTCGGCCCACAGAACCCTTCCATTTTTTACCCAGAGTGGCACAG